TAGAACTTTGAGCTGCTGTAGCTCTCTCCCCACTCACCGTGGAGTCGAATAGAGTGGGATAGTCTCTAGCTTGGGGGCTGTACTACTAGCACAAGGAAGGACGACCATGTACTACTCGAGCGCGGGGGCTGTCTTTAACCGGAAGGAACATCCAAATTTGTAACCTCTTGTTTGAAGACCTATGTGAAGCGAACGGTGGACATCCGACTGGTTAATTGGACATGCACATTCTTTTTTGGACTTACCGGTTGCTATGTAGAAGTGTTTGTTAAAGGTTTAACATTTCGACCAGATCGTCGTCTTTAGAGTCTAAGTGTAGCTCGAGTTAGAGGTATGCTTATTGATCCGTCAAGCATTCTTTCCTTGGTAGAACTGCTGGGTGGAACTGTTTGTTAGTTCTTGAAGGTTTAACATTTCGATGAGATAGTCCTTTTCAGAGCCCAAGTGTAGTTCAAGTTGAGACTCGCTCACTGATCCGTCAAGCTCTCACTTCCCTAGCATTTTCAATGAGATGTTGCAGGGTAAGTTGTGTGAGACATCCTGAATCGTCCTTATATAGTAGTCATAATCAGAAATGGCATGCCTGACCGCGTTCTGACTTCGTGCCGTGTGGTACACCGCCGCAAGGGCTCAGTTCAAGTAGCACTGTGTGGACGCGGCCCAGTTGACCTCTGCCGCTGTGGCGAAGCACCCCTTGGCCCGGTGTGATCGTGCGATCAAATCGCGAAGTCTGCAAAGTATGATCACAATCTTACCACTTATACTAGTGGCTCGCAATGAAAATGGCAAGAGATCATGTGTTCAATTTCATTCCTGACTACTAGCTACAATGTAAAGACGGCACAGTAAGTCCTCCATAACTCCCTGAGAGTGCGTTCATACATTACGACAGCGTTTGTCAGCGTTCCGAGCGACTAGGAAATTATAGATATTAAATTGTGAGCGCTGTTCGATACCTATACTTTCTTAGTCGCTCAAATAGCTGAAAACACTGAATCGATACGTAAACTTTCCTAGTCTCTCAAAACGCTGCTGCGAAGTAACAACTCTAACAGCTGACAGAGCGGTCTTATTCTGCTCATGTCGTGGTGGACTTGATGAGCTTCTCTCACTAAAGTGGGGTTTTCTGTTTTCTACGCAAATTTCAGCCGGGAAGGGAAAAGAAGCATTTAACGGTTTGGAGACTAGCCCTCCGATCTTGAGCCACGTTTTGGCAACTGAGGACGACGATCTCGTCAAAATATAAAGCTTTTGATAAGAATTTTCCATATGATAGCTCTTCTGGCATAAAAGAAAGAACATCACAGCGAATCACGATGTCAAGGTCTTACGAAGAAACTTTAACTGGTTGAAATAGTGTTATTTATAGCTTTCTTTCGAAAACCGGGCAGATCGGCGATGACATTCTAGTTGATTAGGTGGGCCACCAACATACCGACACCGAGACTAATTGGGATAGTAATCGACTGAACACCTTTCTTTATAATCTACCGTCCCCTTTCTTCTGAGTCTGAGGAGACACTGGCCGAAGCTGCAGTCACCTCCTTTGTGTCATGTGCTGTTG